TACGTATGTATATATGTACGTATGTACGTATGTACGTATGTACGTATGTACGTATGTACGTATGTACGTATGTACGTATGTACGTATGTATGTATGTATGTATGTATGTATGTATGTATGTATGTATAGATTGTAGATAGACAGACGAGGCCGTAACAATTGTCGTAGTGTACATTAAAAACCGCTCTTGTCAACAACAAGCAGCCAGCAAGTACGCGCAAGCAATGGCCACCAAAAGCCCGCACTTGTTGTCGGTGAAATGGAAGTGGCCCAGGTTGCTTTTGCAAGGCTCCCCATCTTCGGTCTCGTAATGGAAAGTCAGCGCACACTCTTTGCGGCTCCAATAGATGTCCGGCGACACGTAGGCGAAGACTGGCTTCCATGCCTTAACCTCTTTTTTCAAGATGGCGAGGTCGGCATTGGGGTCCTCGAAGTCGCTCCAAAACTCCAACAGATACTTAAGATCGAGAGGGTCGTGGGGCGTGTCATCGGCGGTCTTGCTGTTGAGCCGGATGCTCGGAGCAACCCTGGGAGCCCGCTTCTTCTTCTGATCCTCGACAGGCTCGGCAGGCTCCTTTGCCTTACTCTTGGATCCTTTGGGTCGACCCCCTTTCGGCTTCGTCGGCGCATCCTCGTCAACCTCGGCTTGCTTCGAGGACGAGGACTTGGCTGGTGTGGCTTTGGCTTTGGGCGCGGATTTGCCTTTCGGCGCCGCTTTGGCTTTGGGCCCGGATTTGCCTTTCGGCGTCGATTTGGCTTTGGCTTTGGGCCCGGATTTGCCTTTCGGCGTGGCTTTGGCCTTCGGCTTGCGATTGGACGTTGGCTCGTCGCGGTCCTCGTCACCCCACGCCATGTCCCCATCCTCGCCGCGCTCGTCGTCCGCGTTCTCGGCTTCGTGCTCGGGCTCCTCCTCATCCGCCTGGGATCTGCTCAACTTCTGCTGCTTGGAACGACGAGTCCTGGAGGCCTTGCGCTTAAGCTTCTTGGCTCGCTTCTTCGCAGACACCCCATCCTCCTCAGCATCCGTCTCGGCGGCGGCTTTCTTGCTTTTGGCCTTGGCCTTGATGCTCGTTCTGAGTCCAAGCTGGTCTCGTCTGCCGAAAACCTGTTCGGTGTAGATGATGTAGGCAGCTAGCACTAAAGTGACTAAAGTAATTGAAGCATATTAAAATCAATGTAGCAGGATTTTGGGGATGTTGATATTTGCAGACGTTCGAGGTATGAAGCAGCGAACCATAGGACATGCATGGCATAACTTGTGACACAGGCCTTGGAGGGAGCACCCTTTGTGCGAACAGGCTCTTCCTCTGCTTCCTCCTCCATCTGCTCTGCTTCCTCCTCCACCTGCTCTGCACCCTTCTCCATCTGCTCTGCGTCCTCCTCCATCAGCTCTGCATCCTCCTCCATGGGCTCTGCTTCCTGCGCTTGAGCATCTGTCGCGACCTCGTCATCCTTTTGAACCGGTAGGGGTTCTTGAAGCAGTGCCCGGGGCTCACATGCTTTCGGTTTCGGCACACCCGGATGCTGATAGACCCAGCGTTTCGTGTCCACAGATGCGGTGCTCGGCATTCTGGTGGGTTTGTTGAACTTTGGGGTCAAAGGGGCCAGAGGCTCCTCCATGACGTCGTACAGCTGCGTGTCTGCGTTATCCGGCAGGACGCTTGTCTTCGGTGGCGGCGTTACCAACTCGTCGCTGGGCGAGGCAACTGGATGGCCTCCAAACAGAGGCTTGGCTTTTCAAGATTCAAGCGGTAACGTAAATACTTAGGTTCAACTATCCTGGACGATGCAAACTTTATTCAACGTAGCACTTGATTGAACGGATTGCTCTGAGTTGAAACCGAAAAAACACTGCCTGCAGAGGCTCGGGAATCAGCCAGCCGTTCCATCTTCGCACGTTTCTCACGAATCCTGGGAGCGGTCGATCTAATGTCTTCAACCGATTTAGAATTATGCTTGTAGATAAAATAGTGTGAGAGAGAGGGTGTGTTTGAGTGAAGGGCTGGGTGATTGAGTGAGTCAGTGAATGAGTGAGTGAGTGAATGAGAATGAAAGAGAGAGAGAGAGAGAGATGAAAGCCAATGTCTCGAACCGAAGTACAAAAACACAACAGTATATAAGAAGAGAACGAGAGAACGAGAGAACGAGAGAGAGAGAGAGAGGGCGAGAGAGAGATAGCTAAGATAAACTTATTTTGGCTCTGTCGCACACACAGACACACAGAGACCCAGACAAAAACATGTAGAACTCGTAATGAGCTGTGCAAACGAAAAACCTCGCCAGCTCATCCTGCAGCATCTTGAGCTGCAGCTTCTTAGCACCGCCTTGGTTAAGCATGCCCTGATCACAACGTCTACGTGCCCAACAGCAAACACCATGAAAAGGTGCTCTAGATTTGGAGCTGGTTACTCGAGCCCGAGGAAGACTCGGATTGGTTGGGTGATGGCCGCTCGCTGGGAGTATTAGCTGACAGAACACGAGTTGGCGTGCACGCAACAGCTTCGGGAACAGAAGTCCTGGGCCTGGTAGCTTCTGCCACAGGTGTGGGCTCAGGCCTGGCAGCTGCTTCGGGTGTTGGCTCAGACGTGGGTGTTGCTGGGGAAACCCGTCTTGGCTCAGATGTGGGAGCTGCTGGGGAAACCCGTCTTGGCTCAGACGCGGGAGCTGTTGGGGGAACCCGTGTTGGATGATCAGATGTGGGAGCTGCTTCCCGAACACGCGTTGGCAGGGGCCTGGAATCTGGTACGGGAGCAGTTGGTGGCTCAGATCTGGGAGCTGTTACCGGAACAGTTGTTGGTTCAGATGGAGCTGCTTGGGGAACCCCATGAGTTGGCTCGGCGGGAGCTAGTCGGGGAGCACGCGTGGACACGGGCCTGGGAGCTTCCGGAACCTCTGCTGGCTCGGCTTCGGGCCTGGGATCGTTGGGAACACCTGGCTCGGGCACGGCTGCAGCAGACTCCTCCGGCGGCTGGCTGTCGTCAACAACGACCTGCCACAGATGTCGGGCCGAATGCTATCACATGTGTCGATTAACAAATTCTGGAAGTCCCGTCTATGTGATCGAGAAAACCAGAAAGATACCAGGTAATTAAACACACACATAGAGAGAGAGAGAGAGAGATGGATGGAGGGAGGGTTAATTTATAAGCCTGGCAGAATTATGGAGCCCGCAAGATCACTGCAGTTTCTCTTATATGTTATATGTAGCGCCTCAACTGTCTCCTCAGCTTCAGGGTCAAGGTCAGGAACCCCGCGGTCTCGGATTTGTTGCACCAGCTCCTGCAAGCAGATTGAACGGTACGAGGATCCTGTGCAAGTGCACAAAGTGTTCAGGATGCAAGCAGTCCTCAAGGTCAGGGTTCAGAATGAGGCACATGTCTTGGAAATCCGGCTCCTAGGGATACAAGCTATATCTAAAGGTGTTTGGGATCTGGATATATCAAACTCTATAGATCTCGTTAAATGTTTGATGTAATCAATTGACACGCAGCGGCCAAAGAAACCAATTGTTTCTGGGTCTTGCGCTTCACATGACCCACGAGGTGTCTCAGAGCCCACGCTTCGTCATCGACCTCGCTCTCCGAAGGTTCCTTGCCGAACAGCTGATAAGCCTTTTGCAGTGTGCTGCGCAAGGGCTCGATGTCTGGGATCTTTAGGCTGCACAAGGTCATTCGAACCAGCATTGGGGCAAGGATTTCGAGGTTTTGGATGGCCAGGCGATTGTTTGGATCGTAACTGCCATCCTCGTTCGGAATCACGAGCCGGCCATCTTCCGAACGCAATCTCCCGCGAACGTTTTCCAAAGACTCCCATTCGGCCTCTAGGCCCTCCACCGCAAACCGCACAGCCATGCTAGAAGCTAAGCAAAATCAACCACCCGCAAAGCCCAAATAGCTGAAGGGAAATGCAAATGAAAGTGATCGAGCTGCCAAGAAGTGCGAATCTTTGCAGGTGCCTTGGGCTCCGGCGTTCGCATCCCTTCGATCAGGAACAGGGCCGCTCGCGACGAAAAAGAGAGCCAACTCTCTGGCACAGCTCGGGTCACTGCATCTTGGAACCCCGCAACCTTTCCGAATCCTCTTGTTTCATCCCCCGATGCCCCAAATGAACACCTGCGAAGCCCTTTAAAGCTTCCCTTGTCCTGAAGTTTGCACAACCAAACCACATATAAGTATACATAAACCTGGATATGTGCACAAGAATGTAGGTTCTTAAGAAGAACCAGGTTCTTGGAAAAAGAACGCGGTTCTCAGACAACTTCCTCTGAAACCCAGGTTCAGTTGTACGGACCTACTTTATTTTGGGTTGCGGCTGCTGAAGGTAAACCCTAAACCCTCAACCCTAAACCCTAAACCTGCAACCTTCAACCTGAAGTCTAGGCTTAGCGGTTTAGGGTTTAGGGGTTTGAATTTAGGGTTTAGGGGTTTAGGGTTTAGGGGTTTGAATTTAGGGTTTAGGGTTTAGGGGTTTGGGGTTTGGGGTTAGGGTTTAGGGTTTAAAGGGTTTAGGGTCTGGGGGTTTGGGTTTAGGGTTTAGGGTTTCGGGATGAGTCAATGAGGGTTTAGGGTTCAGGATTTCGGGTTATTGGCGGTTGTCATTATTGCTAGCATTACTGCTGATATTATTATTTGCATGCAGTGTTACCTTTAGATTGATATTGTTTGCTATTAGTATATAAGTATGCTGTTTTCTTACTGATATTACTATTATTAAAACTCATTATTATAATTACGGTTATTGGTAGTGTGTTGGTGTTATCGTTAGTGTTATTACTATCGGGCTCAGGGTGAACAAGCTTGGTACGCATAACTTTATTTACGAAGTCATACCGTAGAGTTTCGTTTCGGGTTGACTATATTTGTTATTGGGTAGGGGTGGAGCAAAAGCACGAGTCTATCTTTGGATTTTGCAGGTCACACCTGAGCGTGCAGAGAAGATTGCGGCCAAGATGATCGCCACGACCTTAGAGTTTCAGCTCCCTATAACTCAACCTGCATCTTTTGCCTGGGCTAATAAGCTTTGTGTGTGTGCGTCCCACCACTGAATTCAGCTGTTGGTTTCCTGTGTTTCGGGTGGTGGTTATCCGGAACCCTTAACCCGAATCCCGAACCCGAAACCCGTAAACCCCTACACCCCTGAACCCCCAAACCGCGGTAAACCCTGAACCCTAGGGCCCCAGAAAAGCACATAAGCAAAACTTAGGATAGGCCTTTCCCATATAAACTCCTGATATAATGAAACTCGACAAATGAGGGAGATCACGAAAACATTATCACTATAACATGCTTATGCTTATGCCCTTTTTGGGCCCGTAAGCCCTAAACCCTAAACCCCTAACCCCCTAAATACCCTAAACCCTAAACCCTAAACCCTAAAACCCTGAACTGAAACAACGGAAACCCCGTCGCCCACAGACCCGATGCCCCTAACGCAAACCGTTGGGGCTGGTGGACTAAAAGTCTAGGCTGTGGGGTTTAGGGCTTTGGGTTTTGGGTTTGCGTTTAGGGTTCAGGGTTTTGGGTTTGGGGGTTTGGTGTTGTGGGTTAGGGTTTAGGGTTTTGGTATAACAGTATAGCATAGCATGGTGTTGGGTAGCATGGCAAAGTAGAGTAGAGGAGAGTATCGTATGGCAGAGTACGTACATAGTGTTTCACAGCAGTGTACAGCATGGTGTGGCATGGATAGTAAAACATAGTATCGTAGAGTACAGTATACAGTACAGCATGGTACAATATGGTATAGCTCGGCATTATAGCAAGGTACAGTTTTTGGTATATACTTTGTATATATATATATATATAGAGAGAGAGAGAGAGCGAGAGAGAAAGAGGAAGGTACTTTGAACATAATATACTATACTGTATATACTTTGTGTTATATAGTTCAGAGTAAAGAGTATACAGCTATGATTTCAATAAGTGTGTAGTATACATCCTAGATCGTAAAGAATGTAGTAGGTTGCAGATACGTAGAAAATTGTATACAGTATGTATACAGTATACTGCATCGCATAGTATATCGTAGTACTGAGTACACTACAGTACATTACAGTGCGGTATAGTACAGTATACTGTAGTATGGTTTCATGCGTCATAGAATGTCGAGTATAGACTGCTATAACATGGGGTGGGGTAGCTTTGTATTGTATCGTGCTGTGTGGTACAGTCTTTTGTAGTGTTGTAGAAGTATACTCTAAGACAGTGGAGTGCAGTGCAGTGCGGTGCAGCGCAGCGTAGCGTAGTGTAGTATACAGCAGTAGGGTAGTAGTGTAGAGTTTCGTCCAGTCAAGTCTAGCCCTGAACCCTAAACCCTAACCCTAAACCCTAAACCCTAAACCCTAAACCCTAAACCCTAAACTCTAATCTAGTAGAGGAGAGGGCAGAGTCGAATTGAGTACAGTATAGTATCACTTGGCAGGTTTCCATATAGGCTCAGGGTTCGGGGCTTATAAGGCTGAAGCTTATGACGCCAAACCTTTAAAAGCAAACGAACCCGAAGCCCTAAGCCCCAACCCCAACCGCAAAGTTAAGGTTTTACCTCGGGATCCAACGGTGAAGGGATGGGGGTCGAAGGGGGTGCGGGCTCCAACTCCGCAATTGAGGGACGAAGGAGGGGAGGCAGGAAGAAAGAATGACAGGCGAAGAGAAACCCTAAAAGCTTAAACCCTAAACCTACAAGATTGTTTTGGCCCGTGACGAGTCTGAGGCAGAAAGCAGGTTAGCGGGCTTTATCGATCAGAAGAGTGGCATCATCCACTTCGAAGGCATTGAGGGGCTTTAGCGGTTTAGGGTTTAGGGGTTTAGGCTTACTGCTGCTTTTCAGGGTTCTATAAGGTACGAGAAATGGAAGATTAGCGGTGGAGTTTGGCTGTTGTGGGGGTATTAAGGCTTCAGGGGGTTAGGGCCGATAGC